CCTGGGGGGCCCATCACTCCTGGGGGGTTTCATCACCCGCGAGGGATTCCATCCCCCGTGAGATGCTTCATCACATGTGAGACAACGCTCCGTCACTAGCGAGATGTCCATCTCGCGTGAAACAATGTTCCACCACCCATGAGATGCTCCATCACAAGGGACTCCATCTCTCACGAGATGCTCCATCTCTGCGGACACCCCAGTACGTTGTGAGACACTTCGCTCCTCGCAGACATTCCCATGATCGCTGTAGGGGAAGGACAAGAGGCGACGTGGCCCTGCCAAGGGACAAAGTGCTGGAGGTGCAAGCGTGGGCACCTCCCGGGATGCACTTTGCAGAGCAGCTGGTGCAGACAGCCGGTGCTTCCCGGCCGCCTGCCGCGCTGGGGGCTGGCGGGGCTGGCTCCAGGCACTGACGTATGTTCAGGACAATCTGAACGATGACAAAGTTTTTCATCCGGCTGCCTGCAGTTCCCGCTGTACCGCCCCTGCGGCTGCGGGGAGGGGAATGGGCCTCGCGGGTCCCCTGGGTGCCGTGGGAAGCGCTGGACTGTCGGCTGTGTGGAGAGGGGTTGTACACACTGCTGGGACTGACCGAGAGGCACAGCCGCGTTCAGCATGGGGCTCCGGCTCCCGCTGCGCCGGAGCACCAGCTTCACCCCTGACCACCCTGCCCTCACGGAGCTACCTGGCCCCACCACCCTGAAGATGGAAGCGAATGTCCTTGTTATGGGAGCAGACAACGTGGGGAAATCAGGTGAGAACTGAGCTGGGAGCAGTGAGTTCCCAGGATGCAAACTGCAGCAGCATTTGGAGAACCAGCTGCAGAGGGCAGCCTGCAGAGCAAGCTGGGGAGATGGGGCTGAGCCCTGGGCTGTAGCTGTGATTCGAGATGGGGAAGCTGAGCACAACCTTGTAGGCAGCACGTGAATGACGGGGGAAGGTATTTTCCACTGAGCTGCAGTTTGCTGATGCTCCGGGTCATGCTGTGCCTCTGCTCTGCTCGCAGACCTGCTGTTGGCTGGGGGAAACCCAAAGGTCATTCATGCTAGTGGGAGTTTGCAGGTGCCTGACTCTGCTCTGGATTTAGAAAGGAGAATCCTTCAGGTTTCTTGTCCTTCCCTCTGCAGCTCTGACCGTGCGTTTCCTGACCCGGCGCTTTATCGGGGAGTATGGAGACATGGGTGAGTGCCAGGCCAGGGCCAGGGTGGTTCCTGTTAGGGCCTGGGATCAAGAGGTGACCCTGTTTCTGCCTGTGGGATTTCATTGCTGCCCATCCTCTCCTGCCTTTCTCTAGAGCCTTTGCCTGCTCCCAGGGACTTGATGGTTGTATTTGTTAGTGACCCATCTCTTCGCTCCAGAACTGCTTCTCTGGGGTGCCAAAGGTCCTGGGGAGCAGCTGGTGATGCCATGAAGATGACTATTGTTTTTAATTTTTGGGGCAGAGTTCATCTACAGCCACAACCTGACTGTGGATGGTCGAGAGATTCTCTTCCACATCTGGGACGTCCCCAATTCCCAGGTGAGAAGACTCCACTCCTGTCACTCATTCCCACCCAGGAACAAAAAAACCTTCAACTAAAAGTTACCTATGGGGAACCCCAGGCTGGGAGCTCCAGCTGAGCAAAACTCTCACATCAGAGAATTTGTAGGTGACCAAACCCTTCTCACCTGCCGAGCACAGGGCAACAGCATTGCTGGCAGGGTAGCAGTAGTCACTGTAGCTCATGGTCCTCTGGCTGAGGACATAGGATCTGAAGCACTAATACTGCCAGCCCAGACTGAGCACAGGACTGTGCTAATAGAGTGAAAGTGCTGCTCTGATGTCCCCACACATCATCTACAGCCTGCAGCACTTGGCAGCTGGGTGAGGAGGTGAAGACAGTGATGCTGAAGGATGAATTGTCTCCCCTTGGTGAGGTCTGCCAGGTGCTGCTCTGCCTTCCTCAGTACTCCTCTTTCTCTCTGCCCTTTTGCTGTTTACTAGCTGTCCCTGTCCTGACGGGCTCAGGATTTCTGCAGCCTGTTCTAGCAGGCAGGTGTGGAGGGAGGGAGCTGGATAAAAACCCTTTCCTTTTCTCTTTCCCCAGGAGCAGGCAGAGGATGGCTCCTCAGAGGAGAAGCGAATCCAGTGGGCAGACAGCTTTGTCCTGGTTTACAGTATCTGTGACCGTGCCAGCTTCAACATCCTGCCCCTCAAAATCCAGTTCATCAAGGCTGCCAAGGAGGGCCAGAGCCAGGAGAAGGTGCCCATCGTCATTGTGGGCAACAAACGGGACCTGCACCACCAACGGGTGGTGTCCAGTGAGGAGGGTCGGCTCCTGGCCCTCTCCTTAGACTGTGGTTTCTACGAGGTCTCTGCAGCTGAGGCTTATCATGGGGCCCTCATGGTCTTCCATGGACTGGCCAAGCGCATCCCGGATGCCAAACTGGCACTGAAAAGGGGTACAGGGATCCGTGGCATTGTCAAGACCATGTCAGCTGTGTTTGCCCGTAAGCGAACAGACTCCCTCTGAGCTCCATCATGGCTGTTGCTGCTCTCTCTGCTGCCTGTCTGGGACAAGCCTCCTCCCTGGGTGCCCACGGAGATGGTGTGTGTCTTTCCATAAGTATGGCAGGTTCCTTGCTGTCCTCCTAGTGTCAGGATCTGGGTGTCCTGCCATACACAGACAGTGCAGCCAAGAACTATATTACATTACTCTTGGCTCTGCCATAAGACAGAGTCTTCTCTTTGCTGTACCAGCTTTTTAGGTCCTTCCTGCTTTCTCCTTCTGTCCTTCAGCACTGGAAACCATCAGGTGATTTTGCCACAGTCCAGGCAGCAGCATGCCTAGTTTGCAGCAGGAGCTGCCCAGGCAGTCAGTGAGCAGGGACGATATGCTGCTTCTGCATGTTGCCTGCCTCCCTGTCTCTCCACTCCTACCCCAGGATCCTTATTCCTGTTTATCAGTATTCTCTCCAGTAACCCTGGAGCACCCGTGAGCTGGCGAGGTGGAGGTTTCTCTGCCGAGGAGGCACTGGCAGTTCGCACGTGTGTATCACCGTGTCACAGTGTCCCAGAGCCTGCGGCACCGGCTGACCCTGCAGGATTTCGGTGAGAGCTGTCACCGCCCATCCCACCCGCCTTGCTTTTGAGCCGTCCTGCTCATGGCCCTCTCTCCCACAGCTTTTCAGCGATCACAGCCGTTTTCCTTGTGCGAGCACTGTACAGGCTGTGCCTGGGAAAAGCCAGGCGCGGGGCTCGTTCCCAGGATGGGGATCGCATCACGCGCCTTCCCAAGCCACTCCTTCTGTAAGGCTGCCTGTCCCCGGGGAGGAAGGGAGGTGGGGAAAGGGGGTCGCTGGGCTCGTCGCTGAACTCTGCTGCTGCTGGGAGGTTTTTCCTGCCTCTCTCCAAACTCTTCTCGTGTGCCTGGGAAAGCAGTGTGCTGGAAGACAATTTGTGCGTGCTGTACAGACATGATTTTTCTGCTGTGTTCTCCTGGAAATGCAATAAATTGCCTTTGGCAGGAAGCCCCCAGCTCCTCGAGGCTGTGAATTTGTACTTGGGGCATGGGAAGAGACACACACTGTGCTGGGCACGAGCACCCACCACCCCTGCAGCAGCCACCCGAGAATAAGTTTCCTGCACCCACTCCCTTTGGCCCTGGGTTGAGGGTCTCACCCCACTCTGTCCTCTCTGGTGTCTTGCTCTTGTAAAACAGCTGAGCAGACGGGGCGAGCGGCAGGTGAGAAGGTTTATTATTGCAGCAGATACAACAAGGTGTTGTGGCAAGCCAGGCGGTCCTGCAGGAGAGAGGGGCTCCAGGAGCTCCACCTGTTCTCACCAGTCTTTCCTGACCCCACCATTTGTCCCATCACCAGCTGGGAGCTGGTGCCCAGGGCTTTCCCACTCATGAGTCCTGCTGGTCAGTGGGGACCTTCAGCCCATCCGTGGAGGAGCAATCTGTGGCCAGGGATGGCCCCTGTGAGGGGGGATGGAGGGAGGAAGGTTGGGGAACCAGGCTTGCTATGGTGATGTCTGATGGCTTTGCTGTCTTCCCTACTTTATGTCAGCTCTGTTCTCAACGTGTAGCCCATCTCAGTCCATGCCATCTGCTCTGCAGAGATCAGGATAGCCTGACGGCAGCCCTGGCTAGTCCCTTTTTTTCTCTTCTGGTCTCACCCCTCTTTCCACATCTCCACTTCTCTGACCCACCTCTTCCTACCATCTCCTTCCACTAGCAGAGCTTTTGGCTGCCTTTATTCCCCCATCCTAGCCTCAGAGCACTCCAGAATAAGACATCCCATAGCCTGTCTACCACTTTGAGCTCCTGTCCTGGTACAGGGGTGTGCGTGGGCAGCTGGTGGGCGCCTGGGCAAAGCGTGCTGTGGGGGGATTAGAGGGGGCTGTGATGTGCTTGCCCTCCCCACTGGCTCAGTCCTTCTTGAAGACAGGACTGTAGATGTTGCCATAGTAAGCCCGGCTGTACATGGGCTCAGGGCTGAAGCGATAGGAGCCCTCACTCACCCGCCTGTTGTAGGGGGCAAAGGCAGATTTCCGTGGGAGGGAGTACTCGGGCTCGAAGGCAGGGCCGCGATAGTAGTTGTGCCGCAGGAACAGGGGGTCCTCAAGCCCCAGGAAGGAGAGGGGGTGATGGCCACGGTACAGCTGCCAGTTACCCCTCAGATGGGATTTCTCCTCAGCAGAGGGGGCAGCAGTCTTCTTGTCCTCCTCTTCCTTCTTCTCTGTCTTCTCTGGGTCAGACTTGCTGTCCTTGGTTGCCTCCTCTTCCTTCATTGACTGCCTGCGGAGCTGAGAGATGGGGTGAGCACCCAGCCAGGCTGTACTCACCTGTCAGCCCTGCTCTACCTGTGCTACACAGCCCCCCAAAAACTGAGAGAACCTCAGGATGAACCAGGTTGCCCCCAGAGGGGTCTCCAGTGGAGGGAAGTGGGTGCCTGCAGCCCCGGGGCAGCTGTGGTGGAGAGAAGATCCCAAGGGAGCAACGGGGTGCAGTAAAAGCGAGGGGACACGGTCTCAGCCTGAACTTGTACATCCCAAGGAATGTGTGGTCGCACCCTGGCTTGGGAATGAACTGTGTCAAGGTCCTACCACTGTCTGACCTGTTGTTTCTATTAGGAGACTCACTGGCTTGGGGGATGGTCAGAGGGAAGGATGGGACTTAAGTGTCCTCATATGACCCTGTCTCCCCACTCTAGTACCTCCTGGCATTGCCTGGTGCTATGGGATACTTATCGGAGGAGGTTGGGCAAAATCGGGTTTGCTGGAGACAGACAGGACCTGTCTGATGACAAACTCACCGGCACATAGCTGTACAGGGTGCCCAACAGATGCTTTGGGGCACTGATGAGGGTCCCCCCAAAAGCATCCACTGTCTCCATGGCCCTGGACAGCCTGCGAGGGGTGAAGAGGATCAACCCCTCTGCCGCATCCCAGGCCACGGCTGGGACCTTCTTCACGCTGGACATGCCAGAGGCATAGGCGGTTTGCAGGTTGTGAGCCACACTGCCCACCAGCCCGGAGTCCTCCCCTGCCTGCCAAGAGAAACCTCCTCAGCTCCTGGCCCTGGCCCCTCCCCTACCAGCCGCTCCAGGCAGTACAGGGCTGGCCTTGAACTCCCCATCCCCTCCACAACCCAAAGCCTGAGTGCTTTCAGCTCACTGCTCTGCACAAGCCACTGCAGCCCTTTGCAGCAGGGTCGCTCCCTGTCCCTGTCAGTTCCCCCCACTCCAGGCCCCCGGGGACCCTCTGCTCCACGCTGTGCTTCCGCTGCGGGCAGAGTCGAAGGGCAGTGACCCCAACCTGCCGCTTCCCGTCCCCACGTCCCAGCGGAGCTGATGCTGGAGATGTTCCCAGCCCCACCGTCTCACACCGCCCCTCGCTGCTGGGACCATGGTAGGAGATTTTTCAGGGGTGTTCATGGGCTCAGTAGAGAACTCAGTGCTGACACTTCACAGGTTCAAAGAAGTCTTGAACATACAAGCCAGTGTGACCCTGCCTGGCACAGAGGTTGCCCCCAGCTTTGGGGAATCAGGGGAGGGGGCTGCTGGGGCTGCTGCCCTGCAAACTCCCTCCCCACCTCCTCCAAGCTGCAGTTGAGGGTTCTGCGGCAGGGATGGGGACCTGGTCCCCAAGGGTGTGGGGGGAACAGCTCCCATGCTGGCACGGTTCATGCACAGTAGGATACTTTAGGACATCCCTAGCTCACTGCCCCCCACTTTTCTCCATACCTTGGTGTGGTTGTTTTCTTTCTTCTCTGCCTTCTCCTGCTTCTGCTCCGGCACCTTGCTCTGACGCCGGCTCAGCCAGCCACTCGTGCTGCTCTGCACAGCACTGCGTGCCCGCGGAGCCTCGGGGACAGTCTGCTTGGCCAGGCTGCCCTGGAAGAGCAGCAAAAAGCCACCACTCAGAGGGAGCTGGCAGGTCCTATCCACTTCATTCTGCTTAGCTTGAGGATTTGGGGTGTGCAGGAGCAGGGAGTTCATTTGTGCACCTCGGGAGAAACCCTGAGGGCAGCCAGCTCTGGGATTTTAGCACAGGCCAGGGAAGGGATTCCCACTGCAGCACAGTGTAGGAAAGGCATCTCCTTCTCCCCATTCCCTCTGGGTCTCTGCAGGGGCTTTTTGCTTTAGGAATGATATTATGGCAAGGCTGTAAATCAACAATTATACACTGGGAACCTGCTAAAAATAACTTGTCCCACTGATGTGGTACACAGTTGTGTGTGAACATCACACAGGAACTGCCAGACCCAGCTCATCCTGCTGAGCGGGAGAAAAATACTCTGCTCTCAGATTTGCTCCAAGGAGCCTGAAATGTCTCATCCAAATGCAGAATCAGCCCAAAAGAAGGTATGGGGGAGCAGGATCCTGGCAGATGGTTTTGGCACTCACCAGAATGGGGATCCAGGAGGCCACCTCCTGCCCTTTGGTTTTGGCAAGCTGGAGGCCTTGGGTGGTTTGCTGGTAAGCGAAGTGGGAGACAGTGCTAATCAACGCCCCAATCCGACCCAGGGTGCTGGGAGCGCTGGGAGCACTGGGAGCACTGGGAGTGCTGGGTGCACTGTGAGCACTGGGAGTGCTGGGAGCACTGGGTGCACTGCGAGCACTGGGTGCACTGCGAGCACTGGGAGCGCTGGGAGCACTGGGTGCACTGGCAGTGTTGTGAGCACTGGGAGCACTGGGTGCACTGCGAGCACTGGGAGTGCTGGGCTGCTGCTGGGAGACCTTTGCTGTTGACAGACGTTTCTTTTTTGGCTTCTGATCTAAAGGCAGAAGAGCACAGGCAGAAGAGAGGTGGGAGGGTTACATCCTGGTGGAACAACACACACCCTATGCCAAAATCCAGGGGCTGCCTCCTGCCCCATGCACCCCACAAGTGAGGAGCCACCCAGCCAGCCCTTGCCAGACACTGTCAGAGGGGATTTGGGCATCAGGATTACCTGTTTCTTCATCCTCCTCTGGCAGCAGGTACTCCATCAGCTTCTCCAGCCCTCCCAGGGCTGTGTCAACCCCTGCAGCTGCCATCTGGGTCACCGAGTTCCTCCTCGTGTACTTTGCTGTTGTTTCCACCGTGCTCTTGGTGGCCTCATAGCCTTCTGCTGCCAGCTCTATGATCTTATCCATGGAGCTGCCAATGGTGCTTTTGGCACTTTGGAGGGGGCAGGAGATTGTGTCCTTCAGTTCAGATGCAAGCTGCAGGCAGAGAGATGGAGAACAGCCCTGCTGGTGTGCCTAGGGTAGGGTGGGACAGCCGGAGGAACAGGGACCCCAGCCATGGCCATGCCAGTAGACATCTCCAAGTAGGGCATAACAGTTCTGTCCAGCCTGGGCTGGAGGTAGTTGACAGGGATAGGACATAGGACATTGCTGACCTATATTGAGGAGCCACAACTATCCCCTGGGCTGCAGGAGTCTCAAAGGAGCCCTCATTTGAAGAAATTGCCTTGTTTCCCACCTCTCACCATCCAGAAAGGAGACCAGAGGAGATGGTAGGCTCTGCAGAGGGACAGGGGGTCCCAAACTGTCCTGCCTGTGACTTACCTTGTCAACGGGGTACTGGAGGGCAGGGATCTTCTCCTCCAGCTGGTCCAGGCCCCGGCAAGCCAGGTTGTTAGCCACAGTCACTGCATTGGGCAAAAGCATAGTAAGAAAAGTACCCTGGGCTGTGCTAGACACTGCTCATGCCAGCGCTGTCCCACCAAAGGAGGCTCTGGTGGGTGCCCATGCCATGTTCCCCCCAGAGATGGACTTACACTGTGGCTCCAGCTTGCGCACCACAGGCTCCATGCCCTTCATGGCCAAGGTGCTGGCACTCTGCACACCCTTCTCATAGACCTCACACACTGAGGCCACCAGTGGGTGAGCCTCCTTGGTGCTGGTGTATGTCCGCTGCAGGGTCTCGCAGGTTGAGCTCACCACGGGCAGCTGCAGGACCCTCTGCACCACGTTCTCCTGCACATAAGATGACTTTCCCTAAGGAACACTCCATTGCCCACACACCAGTGGCACTTGGTGCATTGCGGTGACCTCGAAGGATGCCAGCTCATGCTGGAGGAGGAGGAGGTTTCTCAAACCCCACTGAGTGTCTCCCAGCTATGTTCCATAAGGCAGAAACAGGACAAGCAGCCTGGCTGCTGTCAGTGAAGGAGCAGGGACACCACAGGCAGTGTCCCCCATTGCCTCCATCTCCCAAGCTTGACTGTCCAGGTGCTCCCTCTGGCTTTCCCTGGTGGAAACCTCTATGACTGCTGGAGGTTTGGGGACTCAGTGAAACCGAAGATGAAGGATGCCAGCAGCAATCGCTCAGGGCTTGCATCAGCTCAGGGTCAACTTTTTTGAATCTGAACTATTTAATTTCAGGCAAGCAAAAGGGTTTATCCTTTCCCTTTGTTTATGCCCTATCCTATTGCAGGTAAAGATCCATATAAAGATAACAGGGGACACGTAGGACAGGGTGAGATGTGTCTGATATTCATCCAACAGTCAGTACCTGGCACCAGGTGCTACCTTGCACCCTTGGCACACTCTACACTTCTTTCTCTCCCTTTTCCCACACCTACCTTGGCACTTCCATTCTGCAGAGTCTGATTCTTCTTCACCGTCATTGTGGCGCATGCACCTGCAAAGCAAAGTTGAGAGCAGTAGACCTTGCTGCAAAGGCAGGGCTGGGGTTGGGCTCCCCTCCTCTCTCCTGCACTCCCTCAAGAAGGCAAGGCCAGGAGCTGGGCTGAAACATGCATCTCCCATGGGTACAATAGAAGCAGCATTGCCTAATGCTTGACTTTTTACCAGTTAAGCTGTAAACCCAATGCGTCCATGCAGCCCTCCCTTGCTACTGCATCTTAACACCCAAAGACACAAAAAATTAGTTGAGAGGCATCTAGTTTGGAGGAGCTACAGTACAGGCAAGATAAAAGGCACTGGCAAAGCAAACTCAGAGCAACCAGGATGCTATTTGATGTGCATGAGAATAGAATCAGGCTGAGAAGGGGTAAGAAGGCAGGACAGGAGCAGAGAGGAGATGTGGGGAGGGATGAGATGAAATGTCCAGCTGATGTCAGCATCCCCCTCACACACATCTGCCACTCGCAATGCCAGCACCCATCCCTGTGAAAACACAGCTCCAGCTCCCAGCCCCAGCACAGACTCCCTTTCCTTAGCAGCAGATGAAATTCTGGAAATCTAGAGAGAGCAGGTGATCCCTGCTCTCACCCCCCAGTCCCACTGAAGCTGTCCCTGGAGCACCCAGTGGGCAGAGGCTACTCACCTAGGGGCAGCCTGTCTCAAGCAGAGCAGGAGCAGAGAGTGGTGGCTGCACTATCCCTTCACCCAGGTCCTCTGAGGGTGATGCACTGTGCTCCAGCCACTACCACCACGACAAGGCCCCACCTCCCAGTTGCATGGTTTTGGGAGCTGACGGATTGTGGTGGAAACTGGCCAAACAGCTCCCTGAAGGCACCGTAATTAGGAACAGACAATGGGCAGAAAATCCCCTTTGTCATTTTCCCTGCACAGTCCAGAAGCTGTGGTACACTTGGGCTGCCAGGGATTTAACACCGCTCCTTCAACAGAAGATGAGAAGAAGCTGTCCCTGGACTTCACCACCTCTAAAGCAACAGATCATGATTAGCCAGGGAGAAGGTGAACAGTCAGGCAGGGTCTAAGAGATTAAAACTTTCCTGTATTTCTGTAGCACCTGTGATGCCCTGTGGTGGACCAGGATACTATCCTGGAAACCCAACACAGACCAAGAATATAGTTTCTCCTCAGGAGAGTTTACTAAGCACAAGGAGCAGAAGGCAGATGTAGGGGACACATCCTGCATGAAAGTCTCTTTTGGCCACATCTGCAATTTCTAAGAGGATTCATGGAGGATCTTGGCAAGGAGGCTTTTAGCTGAGTGTCAGAGCAGACAGTGCAGCAGGAAAGCTCTAGGCATTTGGACCAGACAGAAATGGAGGAAAAAAATCAAGTTGGAAGTGATCTCTGGAGGTCATCCCATTCAACTTTTACTCACAGCAGGGCTACCCTCAAGGCTAGATCAGGCTGCTCAAGGTCTCATCCAAAATCTCCAAGGACAAGACTCCTATCTCTCTGGGGCCCAGTTCCTATGCTAGCCATAGTAATGGCAAACTATTTTTTCCTTTTTTCCAGCTGAAATTTCCTCTGTTGCAGTTGGTGTCTGCCATCTCCTGTCTTTGGTCTGTGCACATCTGAGCAGAGTTTGTGCTCTAGTTAGTGCTGGTACAGCATATGCTCCGTGCCCCTAAATGTCTTGCCCTCTCAATGATCCTCTGTGGGACTCTAGCCAAGATCTCTCCTGTGCTGGTGGGACCAAAACAGGACACGATTCCCCAAACTTCATAGAGGAACCACTGCTGTCCTTGACCTGCCAGCAATGCTCTCACTAAAATTCTGTTCTTCCATGGCCTTACTGTACAGAAGGAACACTGACTACTCACACTATCATTAACAAATCCATTTGTGGTACTGACTGGAAAAAAAGAAGATGCTGCCTATATGGAGCCATGTCAGGTCTTGGTTATTGACTATGGAGACTTAGGATGAGCCACACCGATGAGATGAGGACAACATGGTGGAAAGAGAGCAAATGCCATGCCAGAGGACAAGGCAATAACCAAGGGGATCAGTGCAGATGAGTGATCCAGGCAGCCTGCTCACACAGGGCTGCTGTGTGTCCTGGACCACCTGGCATGAGACAGAGACACCCTTGGCATGTGGCTCAGAACACCTGCAGCTGCCCAGCACCCCTGTGCAGGACATGAAGGTGGGCACCCAATACAGCTCCATGGCTCCCTGCTCCTGGCTATGCTGCTGGGGGTGGGAGACTTCCCAGGGACACAGGAAAGTCACATATGGGAAAAAAATAACCCCTTTCCTTCCCAGAGTTTGCTTCCAGCCCAGGGCTCTGCAAAGCTTGCAGGCCTGCCTTGCTAGCTGGGTACAGAGGCACATGAATGTGCTGGGCTGCCTCCAGCTCGGCGATGGGGTGAGTCACTGCCCTCCAGACAGCAGGACAAAGGGCAGCAGCCTGCTTAAAAGTTTGCTCTCTTGGCACTGAGACTTTTTTCCAGCTCTGCTGGCCTGGCTGAAAGTGTAGGGGGCATGCCAACCTCCTCTCTGCCTTGGCTGGAGTCAGGATCAACAGAGAACACAGCCTTTGCCCTACTAATGCCTTTGCTCATCCCCTCCCCTTCCTCTGGGACAAAGGCTGTGCCAGCCCTGGGCTCTGCAGTGCAAAGGTACCACGGCCTGCACTGTCCTGCTGCTCCACCTTGCACCAGAAATAGTTCCTGTGCTCCTGCAGGCAATGTTTAGAGCTCAGCAGATCAGCAGGGTGCAGAGAAGCAGTTTCACACCTTTGCCCCTGCAGTCTGCTCCATACCCATTAATACGCCACAGTGAGGGAAGGAGCCTGATCCCCAAAGCCTTGCAAGGCATCTTTACACTTTATTCTGGGAGAGGCCTGAAAAGGTAACTGGTTCACTTCCATGCAGGATCAGCAATGCCTAAACCATTGCTGGCAGGTATCTGACCATCTTATTTTTAAGGACTGTCTTCTTGGGCAGTCTATTTAGCCTTTTCATTTATTTGCAGTTCAAAAAAAATTGGGATTTAATTTTCCTTTGCTGCAATATAAATGTATCACATCCTGAATGGATTTAGTGACCAATTCATTGCCTTTCTCTTAACAGAAAACCCTTCAGACACTTGAAAACTGCTCACACCCTCCCCCAGCCACCCTTCCTCTACAGAACTGGTTCATTTGGTCTCTCCCCAGAGATATTGGTTTTTAACCTTTGATCGGTCTTGACACCTGGGAATCCCGAATGGCTCACACTTCTCTGAAATGCTATGTCAAGCACGGTATTAATGTTAGGAAGGCCTTGTCTGTAAGCAGAAGAGAAGATGACCACTCTCCTGCTGTTTCCATTCCAAAATGTGTATGAGACCACTAATCCAGAAGGAAACTCTTGCTAAAACACTGCTGAATGCAATGCTTTATACATTGTTCAGGAGCTGACATTTTTGGTTTCCAAGTTTGCAAGGCTCTTACTGCAGGGGACAGGAGCTAACAGTAAGCTTGGTTTAATGGTTATCCTGGCTCCATCCCTCACCATCTCTGCTGGAGACATTACCCTTCGCTCCCTGCCCTGAACTGGCATTTGTCATTAAACTATGACCCATTCAAATGAAAGGCTGTATATAAGATGTCTCTTTAACAGTGTTATCCTTCGTAAAATTCATGGCTGGGAGGAATCCTGCCTCCTTCAGCATCTCTTTACACCACCTTCTTAGTTACACACACAGACACAGTGTCATACTCATTGCAGTTTATTGCTTATGTTCAAACAGCTTGTCCTTATTCCAACAGCATATTAGAAACATACAAAAAAAGGCACTATAAGTATTTTTCCATATGATCATCATTCTGTGGCTTCAGCCACATTATGTTAAGGTACCTTAAATCACTAGCCTCCAGCTGGGGAGAAGGCAGCAAGTATTAGTGCTTAAACATCCAGTAAAGAGAGCTACTCTGATATGTTCCAGTCTGCACCATGCAGAGTGGGACAGGAAAGGCTGAGACAGGCTGAAAACTCACTGCCCCATCTGCCACATTAAGGCTGTACTTGTTAATCCATGCCAGTCCCTACAGGAGAAACACCAAAGCCTGGCTCATGGGTTTACACAATGTTTACTGGCACAAGGGAACATCCACCCTTCTCCTCTGCAGGGCACAGGGAGGAGTACATGGGGCTACATCACTATATCAATCCATTTCCCTTCACCTGTGCAGTACCAGAAAGAAAGAGAAAGCAGTTCACACACCAGAGAAAGCATTTTGTAAACTATTTTGTATCCAAGAGCTTCCCTGAGAGGGACTGAAAAGTTTGTTTGTAAAAAGATGGAATTCTGTAGACAAAAGGTGGCCAAACCTCCACTGCCAGACCATCAAGACTCCTTTCCTTCCACAAGTTGCTACGCACTGGGATCATGATCAAATCTGACCAAGGTAGGGGTGGGCTCCACACTGACAGGAGATCAAAGGCTAATGGAGAACGAAACAAAAAAAAAAATCCATTGTTATAAAGGAGAGGAAGCCCTTGAATACAACACATCCCATGCACTATGCTCCACCATGGCCTGAACTGCCAGTATTCTCTACTTTTAATGATATCATTTCCATTTCAAAAAGAAGAGCTGCTGCAGGCCACATCTGGTCTTCAAGCACACTTAACTATCCTGCCCAGCAACCTCTTTCTTTTCAAACACTTTCATGGCAGACTAACACTCCATATTCAAACTGGAAGTAATTCCAAGCCCAGCCACAACGATTTAAGGTAAACTGGGGCACTGCCTTACCTGTCTACTCAATTCCACAGCCTTCACCTTTTAATAAAGGAGACCAGCACCTTTTAACTTCTGTTTTCAGATAGCATCAGAAATAATAAGAGAGCACTCTGGTCTAGATTAGAGTAGTCTCTGTTCACATCTCCTGTCTTACACCAGCAGAACACAGAGACCTAACTCTGATGAAGAAAAATGTTAATTTTATCTCCTATATAATGTGCAGTTTTTATTCAGATGGTGTCCAAACTGGTACTCTGCAGTCAGGAGTAGCAAAGACTGCATGCCATGTTAAACAGCTGGACACAGCATTTCTCTTTTAAGCAAATTACACTGCCAGCCATCATTCCCAGCAAGGTCAGTCATGAACAATAATGCAGCTGCAGGGCAAATGTAAGGCATTTTCAAATGGTAGAACCCATTCAGCAAGAGAATATACATGAAATCTTGTGGTCATGAGCAGGGAAGATAGGGAGGTCCAGATAGGAAAATCTAAATCATGAATGCCCAAATCCAGTAAGCAGCTTTTCTTCTCACAGGGGATTCTGATATTATCGTGACCAACTCCATTCCCTTCCCTCCAGGAGCTTACACAATTAGAAACACACCCTTGCAGTTTTCCTGACTCAACAAGCTCTGAGCCAGGCTTCTCTCCTGAACTGCAGGTTCTAAACTCCTTATTATACTGGATTTTTTCATGTAAAATTAAAACAGCAAAAGAAATCTCCTTATCACAATATGATTAATGGAAAATTGTTGCACTTGCAATCACAGTGGTTTGGGAATTAAGGTGCATGTATAATGGGAGGTTTAGTGTTTGTGAGTGGTTTCAGATTCACAGTTTTGGAAACCTGTTCCCTATACATTGCAGCATTATCAGTACTCAGATGAGCTTCTCCACATGCTGTCCTTCACCAAAACCCTCAGCCATGGCCTGCTGGAGGAGTCAGTCAGTGCCCAACAGCCCTTGGCTCACAGTATCAAAGGAAAAGAAGAAACTGCTGATTTCTTGGGACGTGAGTTGGCACTCCCTAGACTACATTACTAGTGCACACCAGAGACCACCCAGACCACTGCCTGCAGGAAACAGGATCCATCAACCCAAACCTATCAGAACACTCATCCTGCACTTCAGGCCATTTTAACTGCAGCTCCTAACTTGTCTGAGCCTACTACAGACCATCTGACTGTAGGAACCTTGGATTGGTGAATTGCAGCTTTCCAGTGTAAACACGATTAGTTGTGAGTCATATACCTATTACAGTTGCCTCAGCAGTTATTTCACAACCCTGTATTAAAATAAAGGAATATTTTCTTGTCTAGCAGCCATGTTCTAAGTCTTGTTTCTATTTGTGAATATCACTCTGCCTTTTCCTATCTTCACTCCATCGAGGAGTGTATCATGGCAGCAAACACCAAACTCTGCAAAGACAAAGGGAAGGAAAAAGGGCAGAATTTACTTATTCAAAGGACAAAATTAATCTTGAGATTATTGTAAGATATGTTCATTTTGAAAGTGCCATATGAAGATAAAAACCCATCAGAGGATCAAAGCTGAAGCTTCATACAATGCAGTTCCTTTCATGTCACTGTTTCAGCTTCAGATGTGGGCTTGCTAATGTGAGGATCCCCACCAGGGAGGAGAGGACACCACAGAAACCAATCACTCCTGGGTTGGTCTTGTAGATTCCCAGCGTATCCAAAGGACCTGAGAGATCACAGAGGTTCTTCATCAAGTCCAGCAGCAAAGGAGGATGTCTTTTCAGTATCTGAAAGAGCAGGACAAAAAAACCATGCAAACTATCATATTTCACACAGTTTAGTTCCTCATCGCGTTTGTCCCAGTAGGAATTCTCCTTTGTCTTTTCTTCCTGTACAGCTTGTTCCAGCCTCCAGGAGATCTCATACCAGTCCCTGGCTAGATTCATCAGGAGTGAAAAGTAGTAGCACTTGGTGGCCCAAATCTTCCACTTTGGCTTATTGATGTCAGGCTGGAGCCCGACACTGTTCACCCACAGCACCGCGTCGCACATGAAGTAGAGGGCACGGGTCAGGTTGGAGGCTGTCAGGCACAGGCGAGGAACCACATCTGGCAGCTGTGTCGTTTTCCTGGCTGCTACCAAGGCATGTACCATGTTGCCCAGTCTGAACACTGCAAGAAACCCCACAGAGGTTAGCATGGCCTGGCCTCACCACAGAGATATGGCCCTATACAGGACAACTTGGCACGTCACTGTCCACATGTAGTTGTAAAGAATTTAGTGGGCTTTGGGCATCTGTTTGCTTAAGCATTTCTATTATTAGTGAGGAATGGGTGCAAACATCTCAGTTGTGTGTAAACATCACCAGCCCAGTAGCTACACACATATTTTGTCAATAGCCAGGACTTGTAGCTTCTCCTGCCTGAACTCTCTGTCCCTAGTGCCTGGGTGCCCTCTGGACCAGTGTCACCCACAGCTCTGCAAGACTCAAGTGTCAGCAAAAAAAGGAACACAGAGTTTCCACTTTGAGCTGTACACTTCACTGGCTTTCACCTAGCTCTGTGGCCAAGAGATGTTACTGAATTATTCCTATTGCAACCATGAGCTACAACTTTCCAGAGTCTCTGTGAAAGCTTCACAGGCTTCACACACAAACCCAAGTCCCTCCTCAGCCATGAATTTGACATGTAGTTCCCTGCAAACTGGAACAGTGTATTCCATTTCAAGCTACAATATATGGCAAACCTGATTTCGTCCACTGCAGTTTGGGTTTTGCCCCACGAATCTTAATACAATACTATGCAAAACACTTTTGACAACCTGCTGCACTGTCACAGTGACACATGTTGGCAGCAACCAAGCCTGGTGGGACTACCAGAGCCCTGAATTTAGGCTTGACATCTATCAGTGACTTGTTTAGGAGAAGCAAGAGAATTATGGCTGTGCTGATAAACCCCCTGGCCTTTCCACTGGAAATTGACATATTCTGGAACTTAACTGGAATAATAAACACATCCATGGCAACACATTAAATTAGATTATTTGCTTCATCTGTTGCAGTTGTTCCAGAATTGAGCAATTGGTATGTAGGTGTAAGATCAGCCCAAAAAGCCAGTGATACAGCCACAGCTCAACCATAGGGGATGCAATCGTGACACAGAACTGAGTGATGCAAACAGTGACAGAATCATGGGAGGGTATGTGATTTAGTACAGTATAAATGCTAAAGGAAATTAATATGCAATGCAGGATATAAAAAGCCTTATTGCAGGATGGTCCTTCAGAGGTGACTTTATTGGGATGATGATCTTTAACTTTAGGCTGTCTCAACCCATTAGCTGAAGGACTAATGAGCACACACTAAGCCAGCCTTGCCTTGTAACTCTGCTCTGCCCTTGAGTAGACACGACAACTTGATCTCTGCAGCGACAGCTGTTAACTTATTCCTCTCCTTCTTCCAGCGACAATTCCAATTGCCTGATTGGAGAGAAGGCTGAGGAAGTAATAAATGCCTGTTTGGCCCTACCTAGCCTGGCAACCCATGGCAGGGATAAGGTCTATTGACAAGTTTGTAAATATACGAAGAGGTGAATACACTAAAGAGGTTTTGCGGCTGGAGGTAAATTAACTACAGAAAACGCAAAGCCAGGAAGGAGCAAGTGCAGGTCTTACCCCTCTACAAACACCAGGTACTTACTTTTCCGGCCAGAGCTCATGCTAGATTCCAACTGCTTGAGCTTCATTAGCAGCTTCTTTTTATCGGCCTGATTCTCTATTAAATAGCTAAGCAACATGCAAGTGTACTGAGTGGCTCTGGAACGGAAAACATGAGAGGGGACAGGGGTGAGCGGGGGACGATGAGAGGCGGGACGGGCTCGCTCGCTGCGGGGCGCGGGGAGGCCGCGGGGCCCCGCACTCACCGGAACAGTTGGTCGCGGCCCTGGCAGCGGTCGGTGAGGCTGACGAAGCTCTCCATGGCGCCGCGGGAGCCG